TGTGATGGTGGCCGCTAAAAAGCCCGAGTGGGATCAAGCACGTGGGTTGTGGTGCCTGTCACGCGTGGGGCAGTTTTATCCCAGCAAGTTCTTTGAGGGGTTGCAGCATTTCATACCCAATCGCAAGGGCAGTGCTTTGACCGATCCCCTTGTCACTCATTTTGAAGAGGTAACAGCGGATTTATCTGTTTTCCGGAGATGTTTCCGTCTAGCACGACTCCACGCCCCCACCCAGGAGATGGATGCGGGCACCTGAGCTCAGCCCCGCACGAGGAAGGACATCGTGGCCCCGGTAGTGACACGAGTGGATTCTGGCTGGATTCGTAGCCACCGTCTGTAAAAGCCACCAGAGCCTCCATTTTGTGTGCCGGCCTCTCATGAAATGGAAGAGCCGCGCAGCCGCATTTGGCTTCGAGCGAGGCGCGTAGGCATACGGTACCTGGCGGTACCTGGGAGGGGGGATCCTGAGCTTAAGCACCCATCGGTTCCTCCTAGGGAGGGTTTCTTGGTCTCTCCTCCGGGTCCTTGATATCCAACCTCCCGGTCCGAGTGCTGTCCCGGTGTCACGCTGGCTGTCGGGCCGGTGTGAAGGGCCCTGGGCAGTCGTTCCTCCTTCCCCGCGGGCTTTGGTACCCGTCAATGCTGTTAGATTAGCGAGATAAAATCGAGACGGGTTTAATGACACGCTCTTCGCAAAGTTTCCTGAACTTTTATTGTTCATAACTTGGACCTGAGTCGGGTTATTTACATGAGGATTAAAAAGCTGCAAACAACTGTGAGATTTTTAGGGGCTGAAAGCAATTAGCGTATGTGGGAAGGAGGATACGCTGCATGTCTGCGTTCCTTTAAAATATAAATCACAGTTATTTAATTATGTTTTGAGAGGGCAGATTTAAGGATATACTGCAAAATGCATTACCTATTATAGCAACACGATAATCTTATTAACCTTGCTTTCTACTTTTTAATTTTATTGTGCACCCTGTACAACTCTTATGATATCAAAAATAATTACGTGGAGAATACATGATGTCAGAGGTCTGATACGACATTTATCTTCACAAGTGAGGACGGCTACCTCATGTGTCGCATAGCAGCACAGGAGGCAGCGGGCAGGTCCACGCCAGGGAAAGGAAACGAAAATAGGTGTCATCAGATGCTATTTAATGTACGTAAGGGTGTGTTTGCAGGTTTGTGTTATAGCCCAGGGACGGCTTGACCAAGCTGGAGGCAGTTTAGCGTCCGCGGGCCGCCTGCGGTAGAAAGGCTGAATGTTTTACGTGCCACACGACTCCTGCAGGTGAGCCAGTGTTTCAGGGCGGCTTCGTGCATCCAGCCCCGATCCCCGTTGGATCTCCTGCTTCTTCCAACGGGGCAGCGCCTCTCTCCCTCTCTGTTTTTTTTTTTATCCATCTCTCCTAATGTTTGGTGTATGTTGATATTTCCCCCCTTTATTTTGTGAGGGAATGGGTGAGGGTGATGGGTGAGGGGAAACAAATGCCATAATAATATCCCTTTTCAGAAGAATATAGTTTAATTTTGTGTGTGCGTGCAGCAGCTGCCATTGGCAAGCTGTCGTCTTTGTTGCCATGGGCTTTTTTTTTTTTTTTTTTTTTTTTGCTCGCGTTGCATGCCACTGTTTGTAAAAATCAGATTTCGTGCCAGAACATGATTGGGTGTTTGAGCGTGTTCATGTTTTGGGGTGAGATACATCTACAGTGAAGCGCCAAATTATCAGGGGGTTGGTGGGTGCCCAAGGCAGGGTTATTGGGTCAGGTGAGCTGGTTGTGCTGGAGAACGTGGTGCCTGGTGCCTATTTGGTCGATGAGGTAACGCTCGTTGGTGCTCTGGATTTTTTGATAGTGTAAAAAGGTCATTTGGAAAGATCACAGGAGGTTGTACCACCAAGGTGTCCTCCAGCTGGGCGCCCACAGGGCACAGCAAGAAGCCCCTGGGTCTACCTGGGGAGCACCTGATGTTGGTGAGTTTCTCCTGCCCATCTCATTCACTTGGTGCACACACCCCGTGGGAAGTTGTGTCCATCCCTGGCTCTGGCTAATGCCGTGGGGACGTGGATGGTGGCACTGGTGAGTTTGTGCTGCCTGAGACCATGACTGATGCTACACGGGCTTCAGGCAGGGCTTGAGGTGCATGTGGGCATGGAGCACCCCTTGCTTGGGATGTAAAACTGGTGTGGCATCGCCCGCAAGAGCTGCGGGTGACAGCAAATCCTGCCAGCCCTGTCCACAGAGGTGCAGGCAGTGCTTTTCCTGCTCCTGGGTTTCATCCATGTGTCAGATTCATAATATGCTCATAGCATCAGTGTCCAAACCTGCTCTGCACCATCCTCTTGTGCCGCGTGCCCCTCTTCTTGTCCCAGCCGCTGTCGCCCCACGTTAAGTACAGTTGGACTTGATGATCTTAAAGGTCTTTTCCAACAGAAACGATTCTGAGGAACGTGCGATTGGAGAGCAGGAGTGCTCTTCAGCCCCGGGGGTCATCGCAGGGTGTAAAATGCATTTGCAAACTTGGGAGAAATATTTTGCATGGAAAGTTTGCGGGGCGAACCGTCTGCTGGAGATTTCAGGAGAAGGAAAGGATGCAGAACTAAATACAAATTGTTGAGGTGGCCTCATTCCTGTTGTATTTTTCTGCATCTACAGATTTAGTCCTGTGTATGAGGTATGAATGAACCGTGTGAGCTTTGTAATAAACATCGTGCCTGGTTAAATTACCATTTTTGTGTCTAAAGCCAGTACGTGTGTTAGAAATT